ATGCAGCAGCTGGTGTCGTGGGGTGCAGCGGGGGCCATGGTGTTCGGCGGTGTGGTGCCCTACATTCCCCAGTATAGGGACATCCGGCGGACACAGAACGCTGAGGGCTTTTCCACCTACGTCTGCCTGGTGCTGCTGGTCGCAAACATTTTGCGGATACTTTTTTGGTGAGTTGGTTTTGTGTGTGTACGTTTGCGTCTGCCCAGTTCTAAAGGTTCTTACTGGCTTGCTAGGTGTAAAGCTTTTGATTAGGAATATTTGAGGAAATAATGTATTTTACATACTTCCCCTCCTCTTTTGGAGATCAGAATCCTGTCTTTCCATAAGTGGGTGAATCTGCATGAAATAAAATGAACTGGGCTCAGGAGCGCTTTCTGCTACCCTTGCCAGATCTGATTATCTGTGCTCTGATGTTTCAAGAAGCAACTTTTTAACTTCTTGGTAAAGAGAAGAGGTTTATTCTAAGTCTCATCTTTTTTCTTGCTGACTGTATTTTACATTTTCCCTGCCCCTCTAGCACCGTTCCCAGAATGCAGGCCCTAGTCCCACACACTTATTCTTGCTTCTAGTTGGTATTAACATCACTGAGACACTGGCCATGTATTCTTGCATTTACCCGGGGTGCCAGCTGGCCTCAGAAGGGGTTCACTTTTAGAGCTCCATGCACAGCTGCAAGTGAGAATATTCATTCTTTGATAAGCAGGATAAAGGTGGGCTGTCTTTCAAAGCAGATTAGCTTTTTTAACACCACTTTAAGTATTTAAAATCAAGTTTGTTTCTATATTTAGATCTTGTGCTGCTGGACAAAAAACTTATTACTCAGGCATGATTTTGATAAATTAATTTTATTAACTTCCATTCCTCTTTACTTCTTATAGCATAGATGCTACAACACCGGGAATGTGCTTGAGAAACCAAATATTGGTCTGGGAAATTACTGCAACTAGGAACAGTTATTCTAAGAATATTTTGACTAGAAAATATTGCTTTGTAGTCTACAAATAACTGATAGGTGACAGGCTTCATCCTTTTGTTGGTTTCTACTTTCTTTTTCAAGCTCCTCTCACTCTTTAAGTACAAGGAACTTCCTGGATTCTTCTGCAGCAAAATGCAACATGTAAATGGTGTGCTGGAGTGAAGAAAACAGGAAACCCTCTCTTGGGACCACAGCTGGCAGTCAAACTGAGGAGTCGTCACTAGCTCAGAGCTACATGTTGTATTGGACCTGTGTTTTCATGGGGAGAAGTGTATGGAGAAGCTGTTGGAGAAAGCAGAGAGCAGAAGGGAAGTAGAGGAGCTGGCGGGGGGAGGAGAAGTGAAAAGCCCAAACTGACAGTTTGAGAAATAGAAATTGTTTTTGTTTCACTTAGGGGTAGTTGAAATACACAAATGATTTGCACTTGAATGGAGATGCTGGCGGTTTCCAGGTAACTCAGGCAAGTGCATCTTGAGAGACTTGGACTACAGAAGAATTGAAGAGATCTTTAATTTGAATTTATTTTAACTAAATCTAGAGATGTGCTAAAGAATAAATAGTATGCGTAATGAAAAGTTATAATTTATGTCAGCGTTAAAAAAAATTTGTCAGCACTTTAAAAGAGAGGGAATGCAGTTATATTGATAAGATTATGTAATTCTTTTGGAGTGTTGTGAGTATTGCGTTATGGCATCACTCTCTGACAGATACTTGCTCTGTGTAGGCTCTGGTCATCCTGGAGCTCGGTTATGGCATGGATTGGCTTCATGCAGTGGGTGCATAGGTGTGCTGGCTACTTGGGGAGTGCGTAATGCGTGTGGCTGGCTTGCAGTACAGCCACTTCTGTGAGGAAATGTGTGAGCCTACAGAAGCCTTTCTGTACTTAAAATAAATTGTCTCTTTCTAGTTCTGCTGAACTAAAAGATAAAAAGAAGACTTGCATAATGATAATCCAGTGTTTGCTGAGAGAGAATATTTTGCTTTTCTACTTATAAAGATTAGGCATCTCTGGTAGTTAATTATAAACACTAGTAAGTCATGAAGGCAGCATTGAGAGTGTATATTATCCTTGGGCATATGGATGATTCAAGAATGATAGAGCAAGAGCCTCTGAGTTCTGTGAATATGTTTAAAATGCACCCATTGAGCAGCTTGGCAATTCCATTTTTGCATTAGTTGTTTAATGCCACCTATGGCTGATGTATTATCTAGGAAACAACACTATAGATAATTTGACCTAAACAGCAGAATTATTTTAACTGTGCATGGAATATTCATTGGAGGGAATTAGAAGGTTTTTGTTACTTTGTTTTAAATTTATTAGGTAATTTGATCCATTCTTGTGCTGATACAGAACTGTTCCTACAAGTAATATTTGTTTGTGTAGAATTTTTCCCCAATCTGACCTTCAAAGTACCAGTTGATAAGATTATTCCTCCTTCCCTTTAGCAAACCAGTCCAGACCTTAATCCACATCTCTCTTCTGAAAACTTTGCTGACACATAGTTGCTGTTTTCAATTGTTTTTAGTTTCTCTTCATTACCCCTGGGTATTAAGTGCATGATTTGTGCCAAATACATCCTTCCTGACTTCCCCTCCACCCCGATCCAAGAATAAGTACTTAAAATTGTAGACCTTAAAAGCTTTCAAGTTCTAATAGTGCTGCTTTTCAGGCCTTAACTTTTTCGTAGCATGGCTCTTTTTGTTTGTTTGGTTTTTGTTTTGTTTGGATTTGGGTGGATTTTTTGTTTGTTTGTACCTCAAAGACATTTTTGTAGATCGTTTCTATTGTTACTCCCACATTTTCCCTGAATTTCATATATTCTTGAATTTGAGGCTCACAGAGTGGAATCTTATGTATTTCAGATGCATAAGCAACAGAAACAGTCAGTTCCTGCCTTTTATGCCACGTTTCCTCTGTATTTTTGCTCTTGAGTAGTGGTGGTCTGTCAGTATCTCTGTCACTCATAACAGACCCAGTCTCACCTTTCCCCTGTGGCTCTACTATATTTTGTTCCCCTTAGTCGTGAGGACAATTTCGCCATTTCCTACTTGTGAATTGGTAGATTCCACATGTTCCTAGGACTGTATTTCCTTATCTCAGAGGTTTGGGGTTTTTTGGGTTTATTTTGTAACACCTGGTTTTGCAGTGGGTGAAGTTTGACCTTTCATCTCCCCTCTGTCCTGGTGTCGCTGGGATGGAGTCATAGAATTAGTTTTCTGTTCAGGAAAGCTGTACTTTTCAAGAGACTGCAGCACAATTTGATTTAGTGAGAGCAAAGTTGATAAGACAATTTGTTTTAGTTATCGGTCAGCACAGGTGTGCAGTGATCAAGGTCGTAGGCAGTTTTGAGTTAGCCAGTTAGTGCAGAAGCTGGGGCGGGCAAAAGCCAGGGCAGCTGACCCAAGCTGGCCAGCAGGATTATTCCATGTGTTGTGGCTTCTTGTCTTTGCTGGAGCTGTTGTGTTTGCAGTATTTGTTATCTAATATTCACTGCTGGAAGCACATGGCTCATGACTTCTGTGTGAGCTGAGTATAGCATTGTGGTTTATTATAATTGTTCCTATTTATTAATAATATTTTAGTTTCTTTCAATCATTAAACTGTACCTATCTCAACCCACAAGTGTTGCAACCTTTCACCTCCAATTATCTCCCCGACCCCACTGGGGAGGGGGAGTGAGGGGCTGCGTGGTGTTTAGCTGCCTGCTGGGTTAAACCACAACACTGTCCAAATAGAGTATCTACTTCCTAATCTTCTTGGCGTGTCTCATGTGTCAGTAGAGTTGCAGCTGGTGTATTGCACTGTGACAGTAGCCAATGAGCAAAGTGCTGCTGAGATCAAGGATAACAATCCTGTTTCCAGTTACCTGTTCTCACAATTTCTCCTCCTCCAATTGGACTGTTTCCAATGTGAACCCATCTTTTAAAGTGGAGAGGATTCAGTGCAGTGCCTCTCTTCCCTGTCTTCCACCTAATCCCTTAGTTTCAGAGTGTGGTCACACAACTTCTGTTTGCTAATGATGAGAGTAACACATTATTAGTGAAGTAATTTTTCATGCATTTCTGTTTCACAGTGTCGCAAAATGTCATCTTTAAAAAGACATTTCTGCCTGTGTTTGGCCTTGCTCTGTTCTAGCAATGAGTTATATGCCAGAACTTTGTGGAAAAGCAGTGGAAGAGGACTGGTCTGCAAGAATGAAAACTGCATGTGGATAGCATTTGGCCTGATTCCACTTTTGTTTGTTTATGCACACATGGCTTTGGTGTAGGAAAAAGAAAGAAGTTTGACCATGCAAACTTGTGGTTCAGTGTGTTGACTGTATGTGAAGTTTTTGGCCCTTTTAAAGTGGATTCTGAAAAAAAAATAAATTTGAGAAGTAGATGGTCTGTGCTCACAGCATCACACAATGGGGTCTCAGTTTACCAGTGTGAAAAATAGAATAATAGAATTGCTTAAGTTGGAAAAGACCTCTAAGATCATCAAGTCCAACCATTAACCTAGCACTGCCAAGTCCACCACTAAACCATGGCCCTAAGTGCCACATCTACACATCTTTTAATACCTCTGGGAATGGTTACTCAACTACTTCCCTGGGCAGCCTGCTCCAATGCTTGACAATCCTTTTGGTGAGTTTTTTTTTCCTAATATCCAATCTGAATGTTGTGCTTTGACTAGGCTTGATATCAAGTTAACTGTATTTTTAGTAATAATCTATTGTTATAATTTTATATAAAGCTTCAAAGCAGCACTTTTTGGGGGAGTGCAAGTGTAGCTGCTGGTCATGACTTATGACTGGCATCAGCTGCTCCTTTGTTCTCGTCGTGCCGTTGACAGTGCTGCTTCTCCTGTCTGTCTTCTCCAGACCCCATAGGTCGTCTGCTGTCCACTTGGTTTGACTTTTGGACTGGTTGTCCTGGAGGTCTCCGCTGTGAGTAAAGAGGAACAGGCAGTGCAAAGCTCAATGCCTTTGTAATTCTGATATATATGAAGGTGTATGTCATGTTTCAAAAATCTGATGTCAATTTTTTTCTCCTCTGCATTTTTAATAAAATAATTATCATTTTTGTTAGCTAATGTCTCATTCTACTTGTTAGAATTAGCTTGGACTTCTTGTTCAAGGCTGGTTGTTGAAATACTCAAGGGATACACCGAGTTGTAGTGATGCTTGAGCTGTGAGGTGGTTAATC